CCTTGACTTGTGTATATGTACGAATGTACTTATTAAGTTTGAGATACATCTTCATAAATTGATCCTTAAAATACTTGTATCATTACAGATACTTTTTGTTTATAGTGATTTGTTCAAATTGATACGGATTGTTGCTTTCTTAGTTGGCTTAATTATGCATTTATTGTACTTGAACTGGGTTGGTCAACAAATAATTAATAGCAGCGAACAGGTTTTTATATCTGCGTTAGTAATGATATATATTTTGGATAAGTTTATAGAGAGTGTTTTTTAGCAGATATTATGAATTTGTATTTTACAAAAATAAATTATACTGACTTTATTATAAAACAGATATTTTAGTGACTGGTATTTGATACCAAACAGTACCAAAAAATTCATCAACATAATTATGATTCGTTCTTTAGTACCTTGTACACTAACGTCTGGCAAACTAGCAAATCTTTCCATGGAAAATTTCGGAATTGTAATACATATATATGACATTAGTTACATATATAACGATAAATGGATTTTATGTTGGAAATAATCATTATGTAACTTTCATATTTTTCAGTTACTGAAATCTGCGATGTCGTACTTTACTGTGATCTTATCCTTTTATGAATAAAAAAGTTAATTAAACGATCAAATCATACGTTTCACAATGAAACACAGTAGTATTTAATTGGGTATTTTCTGTAATGAACTTCTTTCAACTGTAAGTATAAATCGGTATAAATGAAAACAAATTTTCAGATACGAAGTAGATTTTTAATTCAATAAAAAATATACATTTATTATGTTATGTTGTTTCATCGTATGAGGCAATTCTGTTTGATGTTTGAGTCAGGGAAAAGAACTTCCGATGAGGAGGATAAAACGAAGCCACGCTTAACATGTTACTAACAATCAGTGTAAAGATAACAATAAATATAAATGTTTATTAGAATATTTTTAACCATTACATTATTACATAAAAGCTTTAACAATTCCGCGAATCATGAGTATATCTCGACGAAGGGAAATTCAATATCTGTATCTTTTAGATTTTCTTGTATTCAGTTATTAGCTAGCTCGTTCATTTTTGGAGAAAACATACTATGCCACGCTTGACTTTTTCCTTGTCGTATAAATGTGTCCTTCTTGAATATCACTTCCGCCTTATCACGTGTAAAGTTGACCATCTCATTGTTTTGCAGATTATGAAATGTTAAATGGTTAACTCATTTCTCATACTGTTCTTCCATGTATGATTTTCCTAAGAGATTGGCGACTTGTTTCGTCGTAGCTAGTAAGTCCTGTAGACATTTCAATGTTTATTCATGCAAATCAGTCGAATAAAGTATAATTATATTCAGCAATGAATGAAATATTCATTTTGCACAGTCACGTGAATCATTTCTTCATAAAATAAAAATAAAAAGTTTGGCTCGTGTCGATGTAGCCTATTTAGTTCCTCCCTGTGTCATGTATGTCATCGCTCCTTTATGTGTTTGAATCAACGACTGAACGAAACTTATTAAAACAGAAAATCATGAGAATGAATGTTGCAACAGCAGAATATCTTGTATAAATAAGAGAAAAATAATACCTTAATCATTTTGTAAGTAGTTCCAAAACCATTCAAAATCACCACAATAATCATAAGCTTTAACACTTTGATGAAAATGATAATAAGATACTGGCACATTTTTCGGATTACGGACTACATAAACTACCGGCAACAGAAACACAATACACTTGGGCTCCAAACTACATACACAGCGAATTTTACTTTTCAATGAGAAATCCACATATTTTACATATGGATTTCAAAATATTTGGAATCAAACTTAGTAAAAAAATGAGTTTTTATAAATCTTGAGCTTGTCATTAGTGTTTGCCGACTCATCTTTATTCCTACAGAATACGAATGTCTTCCATTTGTCGATGATATTGCTCTCGAAGCAACTGCTAAAGATACAAAGACTGCCATCGGATTATTAGAACATAATCTAAAAAGTGTTAATACTTTCTTAAAAGAATCAATCTTTCCTTATCACTTGAAAAAACTAATACATACACACCAATCATATATACGCTATATCCTCTGGAGTGCATCCTGTCACGTAGCCTTATGGTCCATTATAAGCCTAAGGTGATGATGTAACGAGAGCTGTTCTCGTTCCCAAGACGTTGGGGTTGGGACATCGACCTTTTATGCGGACAGCATCTCTCTCTCTCTCTCTCTCTCTCTGCAAAGGCGACGAGTTGGTAAGTTAGCGTATTTGAATGGCCATTCAAATACCGCGATATTCTCCTTAAATGTACCCGGTATTGCAGCTTGTAATAATCTCAACCTCCTTGTACATTTAACCGTTGTATATTTGAAACTTAATTGTAAACGTCAATGGCTTTTCCCCCAATTACGGGTGGGATTTTGTATTAAATATTAATTCCTTTGCAATAAAAACACCATTTCTTTAAATAACTGACAGATCTCCTTATTTATTTGAAACTCGCATGATACTCCTATCCTTCATCTACAGGTAAAACCTTTTATTTACTATTTTCAGCGGAGGCTAGAGCTAAAATTGCAATACCTTCAGTTCTCTAAATACAATCTATTAATGTTCGTTATGAATTTCTTTTAATTCGTGAAATAGTAATTTTTTACTTTATTTGTACTACTTCCAGAAAATTTCAATCATTGTTTCATGATCGTTCAATTTATCAAAGTCGTTAGTCAACTGTTTATTTGTCTTCGAGAATATTTACATTATAACAATTGGCACATTAGCAGCATTGTTTTTTTATCTTTGTTTTGTCTTGCAAATATTCGTAACATGCAAAGAATCAATACATAGTATGTATGAAAAGCACTAGGTGTCGGCAACATCGTAGCATTCAAACCATTAGACTTGCACACCTGAATGTTTCAACAATCTTTCGCACAGAGCGGGTTGTTGATGTTGCCTTTGTTTAAAATTCAAACGCGTCTTAAACGTGAGATGCTATAGTGACAATCATTGTGGATACGGTCGCCATCAAGCAAAGTTATAATGTACTTTCTTGTTTCTTATTTGATTCAGAAAGTCGTTAAAGACTAAACAAGTAACATAAATACCTGCCCTTACTTGTACAAATTACGAGCTACTAATGAACCCTTGACCAAGGGAGGGTAGGTGTTCAACATGTTGTGCTTTATTTTTCTGTCGGAACCAGTGTTCATAATGTTGTTCACTGTTTATGGATCTCTGAATGAAGATCAGGAAACACAAAAGTATCCGAATAAGGTCTGTTGATATTATTAAAGTAGCAGACAAACAAGAGCTTTATTATTTATAGGAGTGGAAGAACGAGCGGTATTACCTCATATGACAGTAGCAGCTGTAGCAGTATAATAAGAAAAATGCTACCAACTACATTGACGGAGTTCTTGCTCAAAGAATGACAAGAATTATGTAATACTTATCTTTTTCCGATATCTGTCTCAAAATTTGTTTATAAAATTAATGTAATAGTTAAATAACTATTGCGTGATAAAGATAATAAATCTACAATTAAACAAATAAATAAATGAGTAGTATGTAAATTTACGTATAAGCCAAATGAATTTAAAAAGATATTATCATTGCTCATTGTGAGCTCTAACACCCTTTAAAATATTTTATGAAAGCAGGAAATTCGTGTAACAAAAATAGACTAATATGTATTTGAAAAATAAACAGAAAAACACGTAAAAAGCGACTATTTAAATAATTTCTAAACATGTAATAAATATTTAACTATAACTTTTCCAAAATTATGCCGCATTGCTTGGCTAATTAAACTATACACACAAAGTTTCAGTGAAATGACTCCAAAATGATAAAAATTCAGGTGATAACATACACACATACGGAAAAATACGTGTTTTTAAGTATGAAATACATTTTTAAACGATAACTATGACATTTACGCAATGAAAATACCATATAGACTTCATACACGTACGAACTTTCAATAAGATATCTTCAAAATCACAAAAATGTCAGGTATCGATTAATACCACAAAAAAACAGCATTAAAAAAAATTAAATCATAGACTTCTAACTTAAATGAAATAATATATCATATTAATAAGTGGAGTCTAATATAACCACACAAACTAAAATTGAACAAAAAAATCATAGAAACAAAAAAATTACAGCGAAATAGAGAATAATATTCCGAATCGCGAAAACAGTGCTTCCACTTCAAGGAAGCAAAACGATCGAGCCTTAATCTATCTCATCAGAGCGAGTGCTACTTCGACAATCTCGACGACTGTATGAACGTCGTAGCAGAACTTGAAAAAAACAGAAACTCGAATTACGTTACAAAAAAGAGTTCTTCAATAAAGAAGGAATATTCTTAAATTAAGTATGCAGAAAATTCAACTTCACGATGTTTTTTAGAGAAGCAGCTACACAAGTTATACACGTGAAATTGAAAATAGGTCTCATTTGTTATATCCAGAAGTGCTCGATGTGAAAATATTGATCTTTGTAATTGCAAATAATCGCGAGAAAAGCGAAAAACACAAAAGTTTTTAAAATTGCTGCTTTCGTACTAGTTTATTGTAGTATAACCGTAAACAATATAGTAAAACAGTAAGAATTATTATCAAGAAAATATAAGCATTCGATTGTTATGAAAATAAAAAGTTGCTGTGGCTAAATTAAGCAAATGATGTTACTGTGATAATCCTGAAGACGAGATAACATAATATAAATGCTATTATTGTAGTCCATAGAAATAATTGTATTACTGGATCTCCTTGAATCGATTGGTTTTTATATCTATGTCTACGTCGTATTTTGATATAATTGCTGTAACCATCATCCACCTTTCCACGTAAAATGATTATAGAATAATTACATCAATTTTCAGACTCGCTCTAGGTCTTTAAACGTCAAAGAATAAATTTTTTTAATCGTGAAATGACTATCTTGCTTGCGTGATCGACATTTTTTTTCGAAGCCCAGAGCTTATGTTCAAATATCTCAGTAACATGGACATTTTCGATGGTTATTATTATAAAAGTTGTAAAAGGTTTATGTCATTATGTGGATTGTGGCCTGAACAAAATAACAAAAGTCGATATTTAAGGTTGATTGTTTTCGTAATCTTTAATGCTTCATTGGCGGTGCCACAGGTAATTTTCTTCAAGAGAAATCATAAAATACGTATGTTTTATTTTAAATGTACGTTGATTGAAAAAAAATGTTGAAGTTTGAATTTAAAAAAAATTCTAATAATATTACTTTATACTCAATACAGCTCATTCTTTTAATTCAACAGTTCGGAAAAGATATGGCAATAACTTTTGAAAATTCAGTTTCAGTTATGTTTGCTTTAGGTGTATTTGCGAAATATCTAGTTGCTTTTGTAAATAAAAAGCGGGTAAGCTGTGAACATTTTATTTAATTTTATATTATTAATAGATAAGTACTTTTTCAAATAAAGTTTATAATATTATTCTAATGGAAAGACAAATAAAACATTTAATCATGATAGTATTTAGGTAATTCTTGGCTATTTTGCTGGGCCTCGAACACTTAGGTTACGGATTTTTATAATTTGGCATAATTGTTTATCCATAGAAGTGAGTTTTTTCTGAGATTTTCATGACAATATCTTAATTATATCGAAATTTATTAAAAATTAAAGAAAAATAATAAAAAAATTCAAAATGTTATATTTTACAAACTACTACAAATATCCAAATCGAATATTTTTTAAAACTAGAGACATAGACGCACTTTGTGCGTTACCTACCCTAAGTAAACTTAAGGTCATTCGTTTATTACATAATATATAATAGAACGGTAGAAATCATTTATTAGTAAATTATTTGTTTTTAAAATAAATTAATTATCACTATTGAGTTTATAGTCATACTACTGTGGTTTATATATAGTACTACTTGTTTTATTTTGTGGAATTGGTATATAAAACGGGCTTCGATTCAAATATATATCTGTAAATTATTTGTTCCTTTTTTATGCGAGAGGTTCATTATTTTATTTTTTTTTATATAATAGTTTATAAAACTATAATAGTTTATAAAAGTATATAAAAACCCGAAGATTTATATACCATTTGTTTCTTAAGTTCTTACAAGTAAAAAGAGCATTAATTGCTCGAACAATAATTAGTCGCACTCGAGGTACTATCATTAATTGATAATAATTGGTTCTACGATCTATAATTAGAGAATCCATTGGGGGAAGCAACCAAAACTCTTTTCCATTGATTGTAAATTTATAGCAATATATAGAGATCCCTTAACAAATTGCATCAACAGCTTAGCTCACTGCTGGTGACCATAGCCAAGATTGGCAAACGGTGACAGATCGTAAGGAACGTGAAATATTAACTAAAAATACTGCACAAGGTCGACTTTTACTAATTATCTATACATGTAAGTAGAGTATTCGTAATTATTACTTTACTAAATAGGAGAACAAGATACTATACAAGAGGTTTATAATTACAGAATATAGTTATAATTTATTGTGAAACGACAAAAAATCAAATTATGCCTACTTTTCTCCTATATTGTAAATGATGAAATACTATCAAATATAAGTACTAATATTTTATTTCAGATTATATACATGGCGCATGGGTATTGTACACCCTCATGCCCTTTCTACCCTTAGCATTGGACTATATGCTACCTTTAAATGACTCGCGCCCAGTATTAATGCCATTTTATGCAAATTATTTGTTCTTTGAACAAAGCGATTATCATTATTGGGCTTGTGGTCACATTGCTGTATCTTATTTAGCACCACTTGTTCTATTTTGTGGACTTGATACAATCTATGTGATAAGCGTCAAACATACCTGTGGATTATTTGAAATCGTATGGTAGAAAACTCAAATTTATTTCTAATTGCATAATATAATGAGAAAGTGATAATTAGTATTGACATACCAATTATCACTTTGTGCGTTAACAACTACACAATTGAATACATTTGTAATTTAACTCACAGGATTTGGCTTTTAAAATTCCATGATTTATGCATAGTTGCTCATAAAACAATGTTGTTCTAGTATTCAAAAAATAAATTGTACTCTGGGTCATATTTAATCATTTATATTTGGTTTCAACAGGGCTTGAGTCCTTTGAAGCAAGCACGGCTCAATTTTTAGGATTCGATCTTTATTCATATAAAACCATCATTTGATATTTAGCCTTTAATCATTCCGAGAATTTTAGTTAAATAATAAACATAATATATATTTTCACAATATATACTTCGCAATAGATTATATTACATCTACGGATAGAAGTATTTGTATGTTTTCAGTCGCAGACTAGAGACTTTATTAAAAAGTGAAAAGGGTCAACAATTAAGTAACTTCCAGATAATCCAGACCTAGTAAATTAAGTGAAACGATTCAATTACACAATGATACTATTGGGTTTGATTATTCGATCATGAATGTAAAACATTAATTAAAATAAAAATATATACAGCTCACGTTTAACTTTCAGATGCTGCGATTTACTAGAAAATTCATTTAATTTGTGTTTTTTGATGGTGAATTGTATGAGCGTGGTCACGATAGCCTTGACTTGTGTATATGTACGAATGTAACTTATTAAGTTTGAGATACATCTTCATAAATTGATCCTTAAAATACTTGTATCATTACAGATACTTTTTGTTTATAGTGATTTGTTCAAATTGATACGGATTGTTGCTTTCTTAGTTGGCTTAATTATGCATTTATTGTACTTGAACTGGGTTGGTCAACAAATAATTAATAGCAGCGAACAGGTTTTTATATCTGCGTTAGTAATGATATATATTTTGGATAAGTTTATAGAGAGTGTTTTTTAGCAGATATTATGAATTTGTATTTTACAAAAATAAATTATACTGACTTTATTATAAAACAGATATTTTAGTGACTGGTATTTGATACCAAACAGTACCAAAAAATTCATCAACATAATTATGATTCGTTCTTTAGTACCTTGTACACTAACGTCTGGCAAACTAGCAAATCTTTCCATGGAAAATTTCGGAATTGTAATACATATATATGACATTAGTTACATATATAACGATAAATGGATTTTATGTTGGAAATAATCATTATGTAACTTTCATATTTTTCAGTTACTGAAATCTGCGATGTCGTACTTTACTGTGATCTTATCCTTTTATGAATAAAAAAGTTAATTAAACGATCAAATCATACGTTTCACAATGAAACACAGTAGTATTTAATTGGGTATTTTCTGTAATGAACTTCTTTCAACTGTAAGTATAAATCGGTATAAATGAAAACAAATTTTCAGATACGAAGTAGATTTTTAATTCAATAAAAAATATACATTTATTATGTTATGTTGTTTCATCGTATGAGGCAATTCTGTTTGATTTTGAGTCAGGGAAAAGAACTTCCGATGAGGAGGATAAAACGAAGCCACGCTTAACATGTTACTAACAATCAGTGTAAAGATAACAATAAATATAAATGTTTATTAGAATATTTTTAACCATTACATTATTACATAAAAGCTTTAACAATTCCGCGAATCATGGAGTATATCTCGACGAAGGGAAATTCAATATCTGTATCTTTTAGATTTTCTTGTATTCAGTTATTAGCTAGCTCGTTCATTTTTGGAGAAAAACATACTATGCCACGCTTGACTTTTTCCTTGTCGTATAAATGTGTCCTTCTTGAATATCACTTCCGCCTTATCACGTGTAAAGTTGACCATCTCATTGTTTTGCAGATTATGAAATGTTAAATGGTTAACTCATTTCTCATACTGTTCTTCCATGTATGATTTTCCTAAGAGATTGGCGACTTGTTTCGTCGTAGCTAGTAAGTCCTGTAGACATTTCAATGTTTATTCATGCAAATCAGTCGAATAAAGTATAATTATATTCAGCAATGAATGAAATATTCATTTTGCACAGTCACGTGAATCATTTCTTCATAAAATAAAAATAAAAAGTTTGGCTCGTGTCGATGTAGCCTATTTAGTTCCTCCCTGTGTCATGTATGTCATCGCTCCTTTATGTGTTTGAATCAACGACTGAACGAAACTTATTAAAACAGAAAATCATGAGAATGAATGTTGCAACAGCAGAATATCTTGTATAAATAAGAGAAAAATAATACCTTAATCATTTTGTAAGTAGTTCCAAAACCATTCAAAATCACCACAATAATCATAAGCTTTAACACTTTGATGAAAATGATAATAAGATACTGGCACATTTTTCGGATTACGGACTACATAAACTACCGGCAACAGAAACACAATACACTTGGGCTCCAAACTACATACACAGCGAATTTTACTTTTCAATGAGAAATCCACATATTTTACATATGGATTTCAAAATATTTGGAATCAAACTTAGTAAAAAAAATGAGTTTTTATAAATCTTGAGCTTGTCATTAGTGTTTGCCGACTCATCTTTATTCCTACAGAATACGAATGTCTTCCATTTGTCGATGATATTGCTCTCGAAGCAACTGCTAAAGATACAAAGACTGCCATCGGATTATTAGAACATAATCTAAAAAGTGTTAATACTTTCCTTAAAAGAATCAATCTTTCCTTATCACTTGAAAAAACTAATACATACACACCAATCATATATACGCTATATCCTCTGGAGTGCATCCTGTCACGTAGCCTTATGGTCCATTATAAGCCTAAGGTGATGATGTAACGAGAGCTGTTCTCGTTCCCAAGACGTTGGGGTTGGGACATCGACCCTTTTATGCGGACAGCATCTCTCTCTCTCTCTCTCTCTCTCTGCAAAGGCGACGAGTTGGTAAGTTAGCGTATTTGAATGGCCATTCAAATACCGCGATATTCTCCTTAAATGTACCCGGTATTGCAGCTTGTAATAATCTCAACCTCCTTGTACATTTAACCGTTGTATATTTGAAACTTAATTGTAACGTCAATGGCTTTTCCCCCAATTACGGGTGGGATTTTGTATTAAATATTAATTCCTTTGCAATAAAAACACCATTTCTTTAAATAACTGACAGATCTCCTTATTTATTTGAAACTCGCATGATACTCCTATCCTTCATCTACAGGTAAAACCTTTTATTTACTATTTTCAGCGGAGGCTAGAGCTAAAATTGCAATACCTTCAGTTCTCTAAATACAATCTATTAATGTTCGTTATGAATTTCTTTTAATTCGTGAAATAGTAATTTTTTACTTTATTTGTACTACTTCCAGAAAATTTCAATCATTGTTTCATGATCGTTCAATTTATCAAAGTCGTTAGTCAACTGTTTATTTGTCTTCGAGAATATTTACATTATAACAATTGGCAACATTAGCAGCATTGTTTTTTTATCTTTGTTTTGTCTTGCAAATATTCGTAACATGCAAAGAATCAATACATAGTATGTATGAAAAGCACTAGGTGTCGGCAACATCGTAGCATTCAAACCATTAGACTTGCACACCTGAATGTTTCAACAATCTTTCGCACAGAGCGGGTTGTTGATGTTGCCTTTGTTTAAAATTCAAACGCGTCTTAAACGTGAGATGCTATAGTGACAATCATTGTGGATACGGTCGCCATCAAGCAAAGTTATAATGTACTTTCTTGTTTCTTATTTGATTCAGAAAGTCGTTAAAGACTAAACAAGTAACATAAATACCTGCCCTTACTTGTACAAATTTACGAGCTACTAATGAACCCTTGACCAAGGGAGGGTAGGTGTTCAACATGTTGTGCTTTATTTTTCTGTCGGAACCAGTGTTCATAATGTTGTTCACTGTTTATGGATCTCTGAATGAAGATCAGGAAACACAAAAGTATCCGAATAAGGTCTGTTGATATTATTAAAGTAGCAGACAAACAAGAGCTTTATTATTTATAGGAGTGGAAGAACGAGCGGTATTACCTCATATGACAGTAGCAGCTGTAGCAGTATAATAAGAAAAATGCTACCAACTACATTGACGGAGTTCTTGCTCAAAGAATGACAAGAATTATGTAATACTTATCTTTTTCCGATATCTGTCTCAAAATTTGTTTATAAAATTAATGTAATAGTTAAATAACTATTGCGTGATAAAGATAATAAATCTACAATTAAACAAATAAATAAATGAGTAGTATGTAAATTTACGTATAAGCCAAATGAATTTAAAAGATATTATCATTGCTCATTGTGAGCTCTAACACCCTTTAAAATATTTTATGAAAGCAGGAAATTCGTGTAACAAAAATAGACTAATATGTATTTTGAAAAATAAACAGAAAAACACGTAAAAAGCGACTATTTAAATAATTTCTAAACATGTAATAAATATTTAACTATAACTTTTCCAAAATTATGCCGCATTGCTTGGCTAATTAAACTATACACACAAAGTTTCAGTGAAATGACTCCAAAATGATAAAAATTCTAGGTGATAACATACACACATACGGAAAAATACGTGTTTTTAAGTATGAAATACATTTTTAACGATAACTATGACATTTACGCAATGAAAATACCATATAGACTTCATACACGTACGAACTTTCAATAAGATATCTTCAAAATCACAAAAATGTCAGGTATCGATTAATACCACAAAAAAACAGCATTAAAAAAAATTAAATCATAGACTTCTAACTTAAATGAAATAATATATCATATTAATAAGTGGAGTCTAATATAACCACACAAAATAAAATTGAACAAAAAAATCATAGAAACAAAAAAATTACAGCGAAATAGAGAATAATATTCCGAATCGCGAAAACAGTGCTTCCACTTCAAGGAAGCAAAACGATCGAGCCTTAATCTATCTCATCAGAGCGAGTGCTACTTCGACAATCTCGACGACTGTATGAACGTCGTAGCAGAACTTGAAAAAAACAGAAACTCGAATTACGTTACAAAAAAGAGTTCTTCAATAAAGAAGGAATATTCTTAAATTAAGTATGCAGAAAATTCAACTTCACGATGTTTTTTAGAGAAGCAGCTAAACAAGTTATACACGTGAAATTGAAAATAGGTCTCATTTGTTATATCCAGAAGTGCTCGATGTGAAAATATTGATCTTTGTAATTGCAAATAATCGCGAGAAAAGCGAAAAACACAAAAGTTTTTAAAATTGCTGCTTTCGTACTAGTTTATTGTAGTATACCGTAAACAATATAGTAAAACAGTAAGAATTATTATCAAGAAAATATAAGCATTCGATTGTTATGAAAATAAAAAGTTGCTGTGGCTAAATTAAGCAAATGATGTTACTGTGATAATCCTGAAGACGAGATAACATAATATAAATGCTATTATTGTAGTCCATAGAAATAATTGTATTACTGGATCTCCTTGAATCGATTGGTTTTTATATCTATGTCTACGTCGTATTTTGATATAATTGCTGTAACCATCATCCACCTTTCCACGTAAAATGATTATAGAATAATTACATCAATTTTCAGACTCGCTCTAGGTCTTTAAACGTCAAAGAATAAATTTTTTTAATCGTGAAATGACTATCTTGCTTGCGTGATCGACATTTTTTTTCGAAGCCCAGAGCTTATGTTCAAAATATCTCAGTAACATGGACATTTTCGATGGTTATTATTATAAAAGTTGTAAAAGGTTTATGTCATTATGTGGATTGTGGCCTGAACAAAATAACAAAAGTCGATATTTAAGGTTGATTGTTTTCGTAATCTTTAATGCTTCATTGGCGGTGCCACAGGTAATTTTCTTCAAGAGAAATCATAAAATACGTATGTTTTATTTTAAATGTACGTTGATTGAAAAAAAATGTTGAAGTTTGAATTTAAAAAAATTCTAATAATATTACTTTATACTCAATACAGCTCATTCTTTTAATTCAACAGTTCGGAAAAGATATGGCAATAACTTTTGAAAATTCAGTTTCAGTTATGTTTGCTTTAGGTGTATTTGCGAAATATCTAGTTGCTTTTGTAAATAAAAAGCGGGTAAGCTGTGAACATTTTTATTTAATTTTATATTATTAATAGATAAGTACTTTTTCAAATAAAGTTTATAATATTATTCTAATGGAAAGACAAATAAAACATTTAATCATGATAGTATTTAGGTAATTCTTGGCTATTTTGCTGGGCCTCGAACACTTAGGTTACGGATTTTTATAATTTGGCATAATTGTTTATCCATAGAAGTGAGTTTTTTCTGAGATTTTCATGACAATATCTTAATTATATCGAAATTTATTAAAAATTAAAGAAAAATAATAAAAAAATTCAAAATGTTATATTTTACAAACTACTACAAATATCCAAATCGAATATTTTTTAAAACTAGAGACATAGACGCACTTTGTGCGTTACCTACCCTAAGTAAACTTAAGGTCATT